GTTTTCATACTTATCAGTAGACACAAATATATATAAAAACAAAGATAAATAATACAAAACTATTTTTCTCTCTTGTCGAACTCTATTTTATATTCCTCCGCTAACTTTCACACCATGTGCCCAGAGTCTTCTATTTTATTCTATTCTCCTTTCTCCCATTGCCGGTAAATAATGCATGTAACCATCTTTCATAAAGCAGAATGTTTCATTTTATTAAAAAGGATGCCTCTTCCCCTGTTTTAAACAAATACAACCCACAAACATCTCCTTAGTTTTTCTTTATAAACCAGGCCTTTATTTGTCTGGCTCTGTGGAAAACAAACAGATAATTTCATCACAGCATAGGTGTCTGTTGAAGTATCAAGGCAGCTGCTGAAGAGCTACTTGTTCAGTCTCCCCGAAGAGACGAGCAGTACAGTTCATTGAGTTCTAAGAGCTTATTGAGGGAGAAGGGGCTGTTTGCAGAGCAGGTGCGTGCAGAGAGGAGTGTTTACAGAGCTAGCGGGGCATCTCCCGTCGAATGTGTTCAGTTGGTTAGAGTAATCATACAAGGAAGACTGTTCGGTCACCCGAGCTCTGAAACTCAAACAAGAGAAAGTGGTTAAGAGGCCTGAAATGAAAAGATGTACTACCGGAAGTGCGTTTAATAGTGTGACAAATATTCACTTAACCATATTAATGTATAAACTACTCTAAGGTCTGAGTAGTGAGGGCAAAAGCGGAAGCTCGGACCCTGAATCTTTATGGCATTTTGCCCCAAAACCATGTTTGCTCTCCTTTTCTAGTATCAGTTGAGCTCAATCTTGTTAACGGCAATGTAATAATAGGTCATTTATTCAAAATTTTCTACCTGTTTAGGTGTTAATACTTGTCATGCATTTGAAGTACACAATAATCTCATGAGACCACGGGTCATTTTTTATATAAAACCTTTCTATGAGAGGAAATTTAATGAATAGCACTGTTACACTACTTATAGATTCTCACACATTTTTTTCTGTATATTTCTATAATCTGTCCTTTAATATAGTGTGTTTTTCTCCTTATTTGTGTTGGTATTTTACATACTTTTCATTGTATCACTCAATCTCTATTTTAATTTAGCAGTGCTGATTTTAATTTCAATTTTATATTGTGAAATTCTCATTAGCTATCTTATGTATTATGGCCTAAATGAAGTTTAAACCATGAATTCAGAAAATTTCTTCTGAAGGGCCCTTCATCAAGGCCAAAGACACAAATGTAATTATAATTTTTTAAAATATCATCTTTCTGAACCTGTTTACATACCTTAAATTTCATAGTCATACCTCTTTTTTCTTAATATAGTGATACCACTAATTAAACTACACCTCAAAATACTATCAAATACAATTAAAATAATTGTGTATGTTTTTATTTTTTATTTTCCTAGAGATGAACAAAGTTAGATAATTGGCAAAATTATTTCTGTATATTTTTCCACCTATCTTGGAAAATTCAGTTTATTGAACTAGTGTGCATTAGCACACTGATTGGTGATCATTTTTTCAGTGTAATATTCAAGCTGTTAATCCCTATTATAAACCTACTTCTCTGTACTTTTAGTAGACATTTTCCTTCCTTTTAAGCCTTATCGCTTTTCTAAGTTTTCTTGCTAGATTAGTAACTCAGTAATATGCATCTTTGGAATTTTGAACCTGGCTCAGTGCAAACAGATTGCAAGGGCTTGAGTTTTTCTATTAGGTATCAGCTGACCTCTGACAAGTTACTGAACCACTCTGTGCCTCAGTTTCCCATCCGCAAAGTGAGAATGATGTGTTTCCTGTCACAGGATTGCTGGAGGGAATGAGTACACACACACATGAAGTGCTCACGGCAGCTCCTGGCACCCCAGAGAGCTAGTGTTCAGATCTGAGTGGCAAAGGCTTTTGCTCAGCTGTGCTGTCCCCTTTCCCTTTTAGTTTTGTTTTGGCCATGGGGCACATGTGCTTGCCAGAGAGAGGGGAAAGAAAAATCACCCCCCAGGGAGATGGCCATGCTGCAATGCCGTCTCTATTCTCCTCTCAGGAGGCGCACACATGCTTCTGGTGTGATTTTCAAGCCTTCAGGTCTGGGACTCAAACCATGGTCAGCCACGTGGGATTCAGAGCCTTAACCTTCACCCCACGTGCTCCCCCCACCCCAGTCTCCTTTTATAAAATCAGTCGATTTCAACATTGGTAATGGTGGCAATAATAACGGCTCATATATTTAACTTCTCCCCCATATTGGGTATTTAAGGTTTTTTCTGCATTTACAGCCCTTGTCCTCCAGGCCATTTTGTTCTCTTCAGTAACACTGGGAGAGGTCATTCTTTTGTCCAGTGGCAAGAATTGATCGAAAGGCCAGGATGGGAACCCAGGCCTCTAACTTTGAGCACCAAATTCTTTCTAAGCACCAGGAAAAGCCCAAAGTGAAAAAACAAGTGTGAACTTACTCACATCCATAAACTTTCTGCCTTCTTTTCTTCCTCCTAACATATGGAGCTGTTGCCTTTTTGTTTCTGCATAGTTAATTGAATTTCACACCTATTTTCACATTTTGACCCAATCCCTCTTACATACTTCACTTTTCTTTTTTGTCTCCTATTTGTTTTTCTTAAGCTCCTCCCCTCTTGTTATAATCTCTTTTATTGATAAGTTGTGGTCCTTTGGGAGTTTGTATGTGTGTTTGATGAAGGATAGGTGGCCAGATTATTCCCCTTACCTAGTCTATTTTTTTAAACAAAAAACTTCTTTTTAGATCTTAATATTACTTCCTGATCTTTACACTTTATGCTCATTTCCGATTCATCGTTGTACTTGCTGTATTAATGAGTACTTTGATAGGAAAACATTTCTTTTCTGAAAATCATTTTTAGTAAGACTAAATGTTGATAGTCTGCTTCCTTAAACAAACAGAAGATGCTTTTTCTATGAAAAATGTCAGATACACTTAGCTTTCTCCTTTTGCCCTTGATTTTTCTGGCTAGCTTATCACCACTCGTGTAGAAAATGAAATTTTGTTTACCTCTCTGCATTTGTTCTTCCAAGAGCAAGGTTATGCCTTGCCTAAAATTTAAACCCCTTTCTCCATTATATAAAGCACACTGTTTATGAATTTTAAAAATGTGAACTTTAATTAAACACGTTAGCAATATTTTGGAGGAAATATAAATCCTCAAGAAATTGCATAGAGACTTAAACAGATTTTCTGATTATGCAATTAATGTGTATTACTCCAAACTGATGGTTTTGAAACCTAACATATTAGGGCAGCCTTCATTATTTCAAAATACTGCCCCTCTGTGAATATCTAAACTTTGATTTAGAATGTTTTTCTTAAATATTCTTGATTTTTTAAAATCTACTTTCCTAATTTGTGTTTGTTTATTGAACAATAAAAAGTTCCTTGGGAAAGAGAAGTTCTGAAGTCTTCATTAAAAGTCATTTCGTAGTATGGCTTCTTCCAGTTTGCTTCACAGCTTTCTATCATCCCCACACAATGTCCTTTCCTTGTTTTAACAATTACTTTCTCAATGTGACATAATTTCTTAGGTTCCCCTCACATGAGAAAGACTAAAATAAGCTCTGTCATCACACTTAGGGGAGGCCAGGAAGTCGTAGCTGGGAAGCGTGACTTCAAATTGAAACCTGCTTCCATACAGAGCTGCCACTGTAGAAACGGTCATTTCTCATCACTGGGTCGTATGGCTATTCTGATCTACAATGCTGTGTGACACTGACTACGGCTGACAAGTGTGGGAGCACCTCATAGCCAATCACCTTTGTTGATAGGGAAGATGCCATTCTTGTTGTTTGAGGGGACTTCAGGACATCTGTAGAAAGATGCAATTAAAGCACCTTCTGCCCCAAACAGGGCCTGGTTATGCCACAGTCTTTTTCTTCCATTTCCCTTCCCATCAGGATCCTGGGCGTGTGCACATGTTCCAAGTTTGTTGAAGCCTGGGCCTGGATTCGAACCTCAGTTGACCATGTGGGATCCAGCTTCCTCTGCACAGAGCTTAACCACTGTGCTGGAGGGCTGGACCATGCCAAACTTGTTCATAATATATGTTTGCCATGACCTTTTTGAAGACCTCCTCATATATATGAACCAATCTAGATGCCATGTATTTTTGAGAACCAGATGAAAATAATGATGTGAAATAACCCCAAAAGAATCTAGAAAGGAAACAAAAAGTCTAAATCCAGCCTGGAAACAGTCAAACTGATGTTCATAATTGGTGTAAAAATCTCACCACAGTTCAGACCTGTCGCAAAGACTCAGATACTTGGGAAAAGGCAGTTCAGCTCGTTATTTTGTCTGCCTCACAGTTAGGTTGGTTCCTGCCCACGCATCTGCTCTTCACCCAGCCTCGTTGTTCCCATGACAGCTTTGCTTGGGAAAGAGACATAGGGAACTCTTTGGGGAGTTACCTTACGGAATCTAGAACAGGCAGCATTGCATACTCTGGTACAACTATGGAAACGGAGGTCTCACCTCCACCCCACGTATGGGCTTCCTCTCACTTTCCCTTATTTTCTCTAATCAGGAAAATGAACAGCATTCCTACATTTGTTTGATACCTTCGATAAAGGAATGTAACATTACTTGAGCACATCTTGAATTTTCTCAGCTTGAGCAATGAAGAGTGAACCGTCCTTGCTTCCTTGCAAATCAGTCCCTATAGTTCTCCTGGGTTTTACTTTCACACAGAGTTTATTTCGGGTGAACACACCTTGTCCTGGGTGTCGGTAAGCACTACCTGCACCACAGGTGCACCCCCACCCATACACCTGCAAGGTTTATTTCTGAATAACATGCTAATTATAAGGCTGACATGGAATATATTGCTTCACATATGACGCATTAATTTTTTTCTATTTTTTCAAACCCCTATTTTTTATGTGTGTAATTTTCCCCATGCCTAGACCTGGTTAACCGTTTCTGTGAGCAGGTCCTCAATTTTTTACTTTGTCCCTACTTTCCTGTCCTAGCCCCATCCTCCCCTGGTGTCGACTCCGTCCCCTTGCAGCGCACAGGCAGCCAGCATGGCCCCCAGAACGCCGCCGCCGCTGCCTTCCAGAGGGCCAGCTACGCCGCCGGCCCGGCCTCCAACTACGCGGACCCCTACCGACAGCTGCAGTATTGTCCCTCCGTTGAGTCTCCGTACAGCAAGTCCGGCCCTGCCCTCCCGCCCGAAGGCACCCTGGCCAGATCCCCGTCCATCGATAGCATCCAGAAGGACCCCAGGTGGGTGAAAAACCTTTCTCTTTCCCCTGTGATGTCCGAAGAGGCTTTGTAATGGAGCTGCGTTACCTTCTGGTTCTTCACGTATCAGAAAGTCACATTCGTGTCACTAGTGGGGCATGGAGGCGCTGGCTCGACTCGGGTGTTATGCTCTTGTTTGATTTTGAATGTGGGTATTTATGATGGATCTCTGGTATCTTATGTGGTTCAGC